TGAATATTGTTTGTTTTGTTTGTTTGTTGTTTAATGCCGCACTCAGCAATATTCCAGCTGTATGACGGCGGTCTGTAAATAATCCAAGTCTTGACCAGACAATCCAGTGATTGACATCATGAGCATCGATCCACACAATTGGGATAAATGACATGCATCAACCAAGTCAGTGAGCCTGACCACCCGATTCCCTTAGTCGCCTCTTACGACATGCATGAATAAAGATAAATGATCATTGCTTTTCGTTTTGTCTTCAGTCCAACGTTTTGTACTCTGTGTAATCTGAACCTCAGCCTTTTTTACCGGAACGAACCAAGTCAGAATAGGACAGATTCCCCTGTATATCCCAAAACATCCATCAACATGTAGATGCTAATAGAAATAAAGAAAATACTGTTCTGCATATTATGATAATAAATTTCCATGAAATCAAATAAAGTAAGATTTGAATTTTTTTGTACTTTACTTATGAACAATAGAATACAAACACCAGTAATAACAGTGAATTCAGTATTCAAGGCCTCAGAACACCAAAATATACTTGATAAATTTCATGCATGCAACACCTAATTATAATCTTGAAAAAAATCAAGTTAACTTGTTCATTTAAAATTATTAAAGCAGCAATTTGAAACTTTTGATAGAAATAAATTTGAGAGTTGTTGCACAGTCCGCGGACAGAGATAGAAACTTCAAAACTTTCGGTGGGTAAACAGCGTGTTCATCCAACATTCTTATCCTTCCTTATTGTATTAATCACATACCCTTAACACATAATAGTCATCCTCAATAATTATAATAATGTCTTCATTCTTAGGACAGCAGTACAGGCAGTCATTCTTTACATATTTATAAACAGGATTGATATTGGAAATACAAATCAACATATACTACTCAACATCTACACTCAAACTGCCAAATTAAACCATCCTAGCAAGTCATAAATTCCTTGACCGGTAATCTCAGCAAAGGCACCCCGTCAGCCGGTCCCTCGACACAGTGATAAGTCAAGAGCCATACAAACATGGCTGACCAAAGGTTTGCGGCCTATCAAGGGCTTACATCACTTCTCAATTTGGAGATTTGACCTATAACTGACCAGGTCAAGCCCCTTATCTGAATTTCAGCAAAGTGGTTTAAGTGAATGTTTCATTAAGGAATGTACACAGGGAAATTTCATGTTCAAAGGTGTTGCATTGATCAAAGGACTTGCACACATTAGAGACAATGCCCACTTAACTTCATTAAACATCTGATATTAAGAAACGCTAAACTTTCATGATTCTTACAGCTCTAATCCCATCATATGATCTTAAGGGGGGCCTATTAAGACCAAAATGTATATTAGTTGGGCAAAGAAGAGCAGAGAAACATGGTAATAACTTATTACAAATCCATCTAAAACCAAGAAAACACATACTGAATAACACTGAAGCAGCAAATTGAAGTGATGAATAGTTCGTGCTGAGCTTGCAAACTACAGTACGCTGAACATTATATTGAATCCTTGTTCTTTACATGACACACTTGCAAATAATCATAAATGCAATATTCAGGAGCTTTCTGGATATCATCAATGTCCATGGCATTTACAAGGGAGTGTTACAATTGATGTCTCGCCATGATGAGGCACAATATGAGCCCTATTTAGTTGTGAGCGTGTTTGGTAGTCTGTCTTACAGACCCTGATACAAATATATATCAAATACAGCCCATGCAAGTCTATAATGTTTGGCAAGTCTAGATCACTGCAGTATCAATGAAAATGAAGAGAGTCACTGGGCTCCTTTTTATTATATTTTTATTAAGATAACTGAACAACTGTTTTTTTATGTACGATATGTTCATTTCAGAGACTAGATGTTAGTCTACGTGTTTGGCTGAGTGTAGGAGGAAAGCCCAACGTGATGCAGCGCCCCACACCACAAAGCTTCATCTTGGCACTACAACCACTTTGAGGTTCCAAGCTGAGGCCTGTTCCCTCCCATCTGTTTCTAAGCCATGGACTCACCTCTGCTCTATTAAACCACCAAAACATGAAACACTTGGACCCAAAATTGGTGAATAAAGAAAAAAAAAGTTTGATAGTACTGGCGTTATAAATATGAAAAAACCCTACAAAACACCAGGCATAGTAACCAATTTGTCTTTCTGGTAGTCCGGGCACCATGTTTTAGACAATTGAAACAATCAGAAAATGTTTGCCCTTACAGCATGAGACACAAAGTATCCAAGTGGGGAATTTAAGAGAGGCTGACTGGTAAAAGTTTTGTACAGCCTGTCTCCACAGTACACATTCCCTGGCCACCATAAAACAGCGGTATAGCCTATCTGCAGATGACACTTCTTCCTGCTTTCTTGTGTCCCAAACTTGACACGATCAAACTTGAAGGAACAGATTGTGTTTCAGTTTCTGGGGCATGGAACATATTCATCTCAACAAGAACAGAAGATAATATTTTGTGTACATTGTATATAGTCTATTGTTTATTGCTTTCTGCTGCTCTCAGCAACATTCCAGCAATATGGCAGCAAGCCTTACCACCGGTCCAGTTTAGTTGCCTCCTACTACAAGCACTGGTTGCCGACCTGGAATCTCCACGGGAAGTGTGTGCATGCATGCATGCGTGAGTGAGTTAATGCATGTGCGTGTGCATTGTTTCAAGCTGCACTCAGCATTATTCCAGCTATATGCTGGCAGTCCCTAAATAATCGAGTCAGCCAGACAATACACTCATTCACATCATGAGCATCAATTTACACAAGTATACATGCATAAAGTACCCAAGGGAGTTTGTTTGTTGTTTAATGCTGCACTCAGCAATATTCCAGCTATATGATGGCAGTCTGTAAATATTCGGCTCTGGATCACAGTTCAGTGACTGACATCATGAGCATCGATCCTTACAATTGGGATCAAACCAAGTCAACGAGCCTAACCACCGGATCCCACTACTCGCCTCTCACGACAAGCATAGTCGCCTTTACTGGCAAGCATGGGTTGCTGAAGACCTATCCTACCCCGGAACTTCACGGGTGTACATGAGGGAGCAACTGTTACTGTATGGAAATGTGCGAGACAGCTGAAGTTGAACATTCCTGTCATTCCTAGCGCTTCATTGACATTAAGTTCACGATAAGGTGGTATACAGTATCAGGAGATGGTCTTGTGAATGCGAACAGGCAGCATGGGTTGTACTCTCCCCAGGGAGATGATAACATGAGTGGTCATCATACAATTGGAGCGTGTCCTTGCATTACAGATGCAGATATTCATTACTGCTGTTATTATTATCACCATTATTATTATCAAGATGATAACAAAGTTATGACAACCACAACATTTCAACACAACCAATATATTAGCTGTCCACTATTCCTAAAGGGAACTTTTTTTCCCAAAATTACAACAGTGCTTACAGCACATCAAACCTCATCCACTACAAATCTTCCCTCAATTCATGACACAATAACCAACAAAAATTGCTTCGAATGTTCTGTATCGACTGTATATCAAATATACCCCAAAACAGACTCGACACCTTTTAATCCAACCTTCAACACAGCATGGAAACACTGCATCATTTAGTAGTCCGACCTTGGTCTGCTGACAAGGTGCAGTTGACGCAAGCTCCACACAGCTCTTCACAGTGGGCCCAGCTGGGGAGTTTTTGCCAACATATGTCTCTCCCTGGTGGAGCAATGCCAGCACCACTACCAACCATTTAGCCCAACTTGCCAGGAATTCCACCCAAACAGAGGGTAGCCTGACATGTTGACTCCATCAAGAGTGCAGTCCTCTGCTCGCATGCCCTGCTGACAATGTGGATGTGATGACCTTCACCACTGTTTACAGTCTCACTGTCCAGCCTTATTTTCCTAACCTACTCACATAAATTCTGTTGGTGATGCATTTTCTCATTTTATTCCCTGGACTGCAGCCGAGAATGTTTTTTCATCAAAATTTCAGCAATGTTCACCATTTGTAGGACTGCTGGGACTTGGTGTATGAAAATCACAGCCATTGTACGTATCCTAAACTTGACCATTGTCTGGATAAGCTAGCGCTGGAAACAACTGGGGATTGATACTACATTGCAGCATAAAAAGCAGCGATTAGGGCCGTGTTTTGGCAATATGTATTTGGATATATTTAATTGACACTGATTGCACATTCAGAACCTAGTTTCTACAAAAAAAATTATACTTAGTGTGGTCAGTTGCCACGATTCTGTAGTCATGGATACAGGGGAGATAACGTGAGGGAAAATCACTTCTGTTTTTTAGACGTTTGGTCAATCAGTTTCGAGGAGAAACATCATTTGTGAATGAATTTCAAAGTAGATTTTCGATTGAAAGAAACAAACAATAAAGGGGGCACGGGTGGCCCAGTCGTCTAAGGCACCGCGATTCGCTGTGCAGAGTTGCGTCCCTTGGGCACGCCAGAAACCTATGATTGTGGGTTCGAATCCCGGTTTGTCCCAATCATGTTTCTAGGTTTGTCAGCACCATGCCCGTGCTCATGGGTTTCACCAAAGTGGTAAACGTCTGAGACCTGCATCACTTCAGGCTTTCCTCCCACATTAAGCTGACACGCCGTGATATAACTGGAATACTGTTAAAAGCGGCATTAAACCCAACTCACTCACTGACAAACAATAAAACTTGTCACATTTTTTACCCACTATACTAGAACACAAAAACATTATTGCAATACATATTGTCTGAAAAGGGTTTTGCAGGATACCGGTAATACCATGCAGTCCTAATGAGTCAGTGTGTTCTTCACGTTTTACTGAAGATCCATAGCTGATTGTAGCTGAACAACGGATATAACGAACTGATTTCTCTGTTCCCTTGTAGTTCGTTATATACGTGTTCTACTGTATTCCGAAAATCTGAAACAATTGGGTAATTTCTCACAGACATTTCCACCTGGGCTCCCCCAAAACATCAACATCTACAACAACATCTACAACAACCTGTACAACAGTACCTACCTCACATTCATCTCTGGACTTCAACACATCAATCTCTTTCATCAACCTCTCTTTCTCTTCTTCTCGGTCATGAAGACGACATTCACACTCAATTCGTATCCGTTCAAGTTCTTTCTGCAGGTTGCGTCTCTTCTCAACTCCATCCCGCATACGTCCCTTGACTGCCGCCACCTCCTACAGACACAGACAAGCAACTTAACTTCAGACAACTATTTCTGAAAAAGGTTCAGTTGTTAACATACAACTTATGATAGAGCATCAGAAGCTGCTACAAGGATACATGACAAACTGTTGGTATTGAGGGTACCCTACAGCTACAATGGTACCCTATAGCGACATGGGATACTACATAGGGGTACCCTACAGCTTCATGGGTCACCCTACAGCTTCATGGGTCACCCTACAGCTTCATGGGTCACCCTAGAGCTTCACTGGTCACCCTACAGCTTCATGGGGTACCCTACAGCTTCATGGGTCACCCTACAGCTTAACTGGTCACCCTACAGCTTCATGGGTCACCCTACAGCTTCATGGGTCACCCTACAGCTTCACTGGTCACCCTACAGCTTCATGGGTCACCCTACAGCTTCATGGGGTACCCTACAGCTTCATGGGTCACCCTACAGCTTCACTGGTCATCCTACAGCTTCATGGGTCACCCTACAGCTCCATGGGTCACCCTACAGCTTCATGGGTCACCCTACAGCTTCATGGGCCACCCTACAGCTTCATGGGTCACCCTACAGCTTCATGGGGTGCCGTACAGCTTCATGGGGTACCCTACAGCTTCATGGGTCATCCTACAGCTTCATGGGTCACCCTACAGCTTCATTGGTCACCCTACAGCTTCATGGGGTACCCTACAGCTTCATGGGTCACCCTACAGCTTCACTGGTCACCCTACAGCTTCACTGATCACCCTACAGCTTCATGGGTCACCCTACAGCTTCATGGGTCACCCTACAGCTTCATGGGTCCCCTACAGCTTCATGGGGCACCCTACAGCTTCATGGGGTACCCTACAGCTTCATGGGTCACCCTACAGCTTCATGGGGTACCCTACAGCTTCATGGGTCACCCTACAGCTTCATGGGGTGCCCTACAGCTTCACGGGGTACCCTACAGCTTCATGGGTCACCCTACAGCTTCACGGGGTACCCGACAGCTTCATGGGGTACCCTACAGCTTCATGGGGTACCCTACAGCTTCATGGGGTACCCTACAGCTTCATGGATCACCCTACAGCTTCATGGGGTACCCTACAGCTTCATGGGTCACCCTACAACCACATGCAATATGACATGTTTTGTGATAAACAAACAGTTGAAGGGCATTTTTACCTGTTGGAGAGAGTTTTTGGCTATCGTTAATGTGTTGAGGAGCTCCACTTGTCTTGTGCGCAGCTTGGAAAACTCGTGCAGGAAGGTATCTTTAGCTTCTTTAGTGTTGGGTATTTTCCCATCCAGTGCCCGTCTGATCATCACCATCTCTGCCTCCAGTGAACTCTCAGCACGCACACCATCCACTGCGTGAGCCTCTTCTCCTGAACAACAGAATAATCCCATCAGAAACAGTTCATCTCTTTCATCACAATATTCAATCTCAATATCAAAATATTCCATTGACAAAAGAACTCCTTTCAGACAAAAAGAAAGGAATTAATCCCCAAAAGGGAAGATTTTCAAAAGGTAAAGAGGTCATGACGAAATTAATTGATTTCAAAGCACTGCCGAGTTGAAGTAAAGGGAGGTAACTCTAAATCCACTTACCATCAGATGGGGAAGATTGTCCTATGGAGGAATCATCTGTGTCGGTGGGAAGGTCATATTCACGATAATCCTTGCTACTTCGTGGGGGGGACAACTGGGTGGAGTCAGTAATTTCGATTATTTTGGGGGTAGGGGAGACTTCCCCATTTTCTGACTTTCCTTTTTCTTGTGGTGGTGGAGCCAGAGCAACATTTGGTGTGAAGTGTCGTTCATACCTGATGAATGCAAACAAAACAACGGTTGGTAAAAGCTTGGTCAAACGAACATTCTGGATGACAACAACAGCTCCACCAATACTTAAACAATACACAGTGAACACAGTATTGTTGGTGAGTGAGTATGGTTTTAACTCTGCTTCGAACAGTATTTCAGTTACGTCAGCTTGTGAGGAGAAGTCCGAAGTGATCAAGGTCATCGGTTTACCACTTTAGTGAAACCCACGAGCATGGGTATTGTGCTGACAAACCTAGAAACAGCCCAGGTTAGATTTCTGTCACGGTAATGGAGCTTAACCCAGCACAGCCTTAGATGACCGGCTGCCCGGGCCATATATTGAGCAAAATGAAACTATAACAATATTAGTTCAAAGAAATCCAACCACATTTAATATAACCTTTCTCTAGTGACAGCGTTATAATAAATGTGGTTCCCTTGATTTCACATCAGCCTGGAAGTGTCATTAGCAGAATTTTGCTGCCATATAAATTTTGCAAAGCATATTTCAAAGTTGCATTTAATCTGCTTGCTTCATGTTCACGTGAAGCCCGGAATGTGGCACTGACGCACCATACAGTTAAGGTTGCTCACCTCTCAGACTCAGAGTATGGCACCACTCTCTCTGGGTGCAGGAGTACCGGAGGACCGGTGTGTAGATAGGAAGGTAGGATCCCGGGCAACCTGCATTAGAAGTGTTGGTCTAGAATGTAGCCACGGACACCAGGTTCATCAACAACCTGTACATTTTAATAGAAACTCCATGCTGTCCAACAGTTTGATACACAAGTTTCAGAATTAGAAACTCAGTAATGAGGACAAATAAGTAATACAACCAATATTCTCATTCCAAATGGAAGGGCCGAAAAGTTGCCCAAATGTCAGCATGGAAGGAGCAAGATAGGTCGGCTGCAAGCTTGCTGGCAAGATGTGTCATCGCAACCCAACAAAGGAACTGATGCTCATTATGTCAACCAATAGTTTGCCTGCTCCAAAGGCCAAATACTGTGCAGGTGATATGAAATGGCTGTGTTTGTTGACAGCTTCAAACCCAAACCAATCTCCTGAATCAACATCCTCCTTATCTCTGGGGCTCACATTCCAGTTTTTGGTTTGTTGTTTTACGCCGCACTCAGCAATATTCCAGCTATATGACGGCGGTCTGTAAATAATCGAGTCTGGACCAGACAATCCAGTGATCTACATCATGAACATTGATCCAAGCAATTGGGATCGATGACATGCATCAACAAAGTCAGCGAGCCTTACCACCCGATCCCGTTAGTCGCCTTTTACGACAAGCATAGTCGCCTTTTACGGCAAGCATGGGTTGCTGAAGACCTATTCTACCCCGGATCTTCACGGGTCTCACATCTCACATCCCAGTAAACCTACACAAACTCCTGGACCCATTCATAAGGTTTTCGCAATCTCAAATTATCCGCCCTTGATTCCCTTCAGCCAATTTAGTTGGCTTTTCTTCTTGATCTTACTACCAATCAGGTTGTGAGTTACGAACCAGCCTCAGTGTTGGCTTTGTGACATCAACATCATTGCAGCCAGAACCATTGATTCGATAGAGTTTGCGAGAATTCAACATTGTAAAACTGACTGACACGCTATAGAATCTTTTGGGTGGAAAGGATGTCCTCATGTCCATAAGAACTGGTGGTGGCTGTTATGAGCAACTCGAGTTACCTCCCTTACCCATTTTCTTTTTTCTTATTTTTCCTTATCTCGTAGTCTGATTGGTCAGTAAAATGATAATGAAAATCAAGAACAGGTAATCGCGAAAAACCTTGTGGATGGGTCGAGGGGTTAGCGTAGGTTTACCTTGTGAATGGGTCGAGGGGTGAGTGTAGGTTTACCTTGTGAATGGGTCGAGGGGTTAGCATAGGTTTACCTTGTGGATGGGTCGAGGGGTTAGCATAGGTTTACCTTGTGAATGGGTCGAGGGGTAAGCGTAGGTTTACCTTGTGAATGGGTCGAGGGGTTAGTGTAGGTTTACCTTGTGGATGGGTCGAGGGGTTAGTGTAGGTTTACCTTGTGGATGGGTCGAGTAGGTTTACCTTGTGGATGGGTCGAGGGGTTAGCGTAGGTTTACCTTGTGGATGGGTCGAGGGGTTAGTGTAGGTTTACCTTGTGAATGGGTCAAGGGTGAGTGTAGGTTTACCTTGTGGATGGGTCGAGTAGGTTTTCCTTGTGAATGGGTCGAGGGGTTAGTGTAGGTTTACCTTGTGGATGGGTCGAGGGGTTAGCGTAGGTTTACCTTGTGGATGGGTCGAGGGGTTAGCGTAGGTTTACCTTGTGGAAGGGTCAAGGGGTTAGCGTAGGTTTACCTTGTGGATGGGTCGAGGGGTTAGCGTAGGTTTACCTTGTGAATGGGTCGAGGGGTTAGTGTAGGTTTACCTTGTGAATGGGTCGAGTGGTTAGTGTAGGTTTACCTTGTGGATGGGTAGAGGGGTTAGTGTAGGTTTACCTTGTGAATGGGTCGAGGGGTTAGTGTAGGTTTACCTTGTGAATGGGTCGATGGGTAAGTGTAGGTTTACCTTGTGAATGGGTCGAGGGGTAAGTGTAGGTTTACCTTGTGAATGGGTCGAGGGTTTAGTGTAGGTTTACCTTGTGAATGGGGCGAGGGGTTAGCGTAGGTTTACCTTGTGAATGGGTCGAGGGGTGAGTGTAGGTTTACCTTGTGAATGGGTCGAGGGGTTAGTGTAGGTTTACCTTGTGAATGGGTCGAGGGGTTAGCGTAGGTTTACCTTGTGAATGGGTCGAGGGGTTAGTGTAGGTTTACCGTGTGAATGGGTCAAGGGGTTAGCGTAGGTTTACCTTGTGAATGCATTGAGGGGTTAGCGTAGGTTTACCTTGTGAATGGGTCGAGGGGTTAGCGTAGGTTTACCTTGTGAATGGGTCGAGGGGTTAGTGTAGGTTTACCGTGTGAATGGGTCGAGGGGTTAGTGTAGGTTTACCTTGTGAATGGGTCGAGGGGTTAGCGTAGGTTTACCTTGTGAATGGGTCGAGGGGTTAGCGTAGGTTTACCTTGTGAATGGGTCGAGGGGTTAGTGTAGGTTTACCTTGTGAATGGGTCGAGGGGTTAGTGTAGGTTTACCTTGTGAATGGGTCGAGGGGTTAGCGTAGGTTTACCTTGTGAATGGGTCGAGGGGTTAGCGTAGGTTTACCTTGTGAATGGGTCGAGGGGTTAGTGTAGGTTTACCGAAATGTGAGCTCCGGAGACATAGAGGACGTGGAATCGAGTGCAAGTTTATAATCGGGGCTACGTAAATTCCCCAGATCATCTGTGGAATGTGGATCAACTCACCCTTCTCTCATAATGGCTGGTGGTGTGGGTAGGAGCTTGCCCTCCTTGATGGCATTGAGCACTGTGGGGGACCAGGGTTGGAACGCCGACATTCCCCGCATGCTGGCTGGGTGCTCCGGGAGAGCTGGGATACTGCCTGGGGGTGATACTGACCCCTCCCCCTTGAGTCTCTTGCCCTCACACCCATCTCGATCTGGACTCTGCAAAATTGACAAAAACAAACATGTCAACATTGGCCAAGCAACCCACTAATCTACAGTAAGATAATAATACAACTACACAAAATTGCCATCACTATTTATATGATATTGATTTAGTGATCTAGTTCAATAGCATCAAGATTTATCGTGCCAGTGTCTCCATAATGAATATTCATAGAAAATGCAAAACATGTATTAAACTGATGATTACAAGAATCTCATCAGAAATTAGACTATTTTCTGGAATGTTGACTTTCACATGCCGAGTATTTAGTGAGTGAGTATTATTATTAGAAAAATTCCAATAATATCAGAAACGGGCTTCACACATTGTACCCATGCGGGGAATCGAACCCAGGTCTTGGGCGTGACAATTGAACACTTTAACCACTGGGCTACCCCACTGCCCCAATACGAATCATAACTTTTGATTAACTGGAATACTGTTAAAAGTGGCGTTAAACCCAACTCACTCACTCCCTCACTCATAACTTTTCATTAATGAACACTGTCATTATTGACACCCTCAACGTATTCCAAAACTCCAACCAATCTCAATAAACTTATTACAAGTGTTAACCCAAACTGTGTCCTTCAATGATCCTTCACAGTTTAACCAGCATTGTTCAATAGCCATTTTCTTTGAAAATCAATACCCTGCACTATCCAAAAAACTATCGCCAGGCATGAAAACATCTAATTAAGCTACTTATGCATCTAATTACAGCAGTCAGTGGAATATTTCGATGATACTGCAGTGATAAGGCGATCAACCTTCACAAATGAACACATTGACAAGATAAGTAGCACATAAAAAGCCATAACTACCATGACTACACCACAGCAAGACAAGGCAATGTCGCTGGAAGCTATTTCCAAGCATGGCCAAAATGCTTGCCGACTACATGTTTGACTGGAGCTGTTTGCTTAGAGCTATTTGACAAGAGCACACTACCACAAGGATCTGAGTTAGGAGAAGTCTGCAGCAACCCATGCGACTAACAGGATCGGGTGGTCAGGCTCGCTGACTTGGTTGATGCATGTCATCATTTCCCAATTGGGTGGAACAATGCTCATGATATCAATCACTGGATTGTCTGGTATTTACAATACAATATATGACTACAATAAGTGCCCTGTTGTATTGTAATCATTCTTATATAATAATGGAGTATTTATAGAAACTTAACCAAGCTTCTATTATCCAGCCTTGGTGCCTAATGAATTGTTTATATGTTTGTTGTTTAACACTGCAATATTAACAATATTCCAGCTATATGATATATAATGGCGGGCTGTAAATAATCGAGTCTGGATCAGACAATCCAGTGATTGACATCATGAGCATTGATTCACACAATTGGGGCATGATGACACGCATCAATCAACCAAGTCAGCGAGTCTGACCACCCGATCCCGTTAGTCACATTTTACTACAAGTATAGTTGCCTGTTACGGCAAGCTTGGGGTGCTGAAGACCTACTCTTCTCCAGATCTTCACGGGTCGCCTAAAGAATTGACTATGGTACATATCCCATAGAGATGTCAACCTATTCCTTTTCAATCACTTTCTGAGGACATTTTTTAACAAATATGTAAAATTTAAATGTTGTTGTTTACCACTGCAATCAGCCATTCCAGCTGTATGATGGAAGCGGTGAGGAACAACAACAAAACAACAAAGCAAATTCATGCAATACCCGAAAATATCAAAATCCCCAATACCATACAAAAACAATTAGATCAAACTCGATCAATTTGCACCAAACCTGTAACAATCGTTTTCAAAATTATTTCAGTTCTACAAAAACATTTACAAGTACACTGATCTATGGGACTAACATTAAGTCCCAGAAATGAAGTTTTCTGATTTAAAAAAATATATCCACAAAATAAAATCCAAATAGAGCCTAGAACAATGCTTAATTTCAGGCAAGTCATTCTAGATTTGAGCATGTGTTGAGTTGGATTTCTTTTTCAATTTATTCTCTTGGGTCTGGAAGACAAACTGTGGTGTGTTTAAATCGACACTTTATGAACATACTCGATGCACCAAAATTTACATAATTTCAAATGAAATCACAACAAGATTGAACTTTTGACCCTTTGTCACTTTATATACAGTGAATAAATATGTGACATTGCTTTGTTTGCTGGTCCATATAAACAGGAAGGCAGTGACAGCTGTTCAGGTAACAGCGTCAACAAATTACAAGCAAACTGTTGGTGTTTAGCCACATTTAATCATGTGCAAGGGGAGAAGAGAGCTTGATGATTCTGATCAAAGCTCACTATCTTGATACAGTCAATTAAAGATAAATGTTTCCTCTGCTGTGCATGCATTATTAATGTACACAATACTCAATGAATGGGATTCAGGTTTTGTGTGCAACCAACCATGGACTTATTGTCCTGAAGAGAACAATGCATCTGTAACCATTTCCCAACAACTGCTGCTTGCTGCTTACTTATGCCCTTGTGAACAATATTAACAAAACACATTATCATTGCTTATGATTATGTTATTATAGATATTACATATCACTGACATGAATAACAGTAATTATCTTCCTTTGCAACTATTTGTGTGATTACCAAAAATTCATTCTAATCGGAAAATATTTTCACAAATCATGTCACTATGTTGACTCATGATAAAAAAAACAATAATTAAGCCTGATACAATTAGTGGAAGTGGCCCCTCTTCCTATGCCAACGTTTAAAGTGCCAAGACCTACCCGTGGTATTAGCTTCTTCTCCATACCAATACCGCCGAGTCAGCAAATGCACAGAATCATTACAGATATATCATGTGTCTATGCCGGTTATGAGACGCCTGTTACATTAACTAGATACATATTTCACACTGAGTTGCAAAACACACATCCTCACATTCCTCAAACATTTTAGAATCAAATGATGGGTTGCAGGTTCCATCAACACACACAAACACACACCGACACACACCAACACACACCAACACACAGCAACACACACCAACATACACCAACACACACCAACACACACCAACACACACAAACACACAGCAACACACACTGACACACAGCAACACACACCAACATACACCAACATACCCCCTCCAAACTCACATAATCCCACGATCATTAAACTGTCAAGAATATCTTTATATACGAATTAATAATTACAGCTATGACCTTGAACCTTCGTAACAGTAAACTTTTTCTGCCACCATCTATGCCCTAAGTCACCCCAATAAAAAATCTAAGCTGCCTTTTCTAACACACGCACACACACTCACTCAACCCACGCCAACTGTCACCCCTCAAACCCCTCTTCGCCAACCTACCATTTTGGGTATAACAAGATTTCAGTTACAAGTATATGAATCCTAAAGTAATAAAGTTTAGTATTTTGAATGTAATGAGGTATATCGTTTCTGTGTGGGTATTCTAATAAAAAATGATATTCATCTTCTCTCCTGCTCAAAGATTATAGTGTGAAAATCTGGGTTAGAGTTGGTCTTCAGCAACCCATGCCTGTTATGAGAGGCCACTGACGGAATCAGGAGATCAGACTTGTAGACTTGGTCAATGCATGTCATCCTATTCCAATTGCGAAGATAGATGCTCATGATGTCAATCACTTGTCTGGTCCAGCTTTGATTATTTACAGACTGCTGTCTTATAGCAGGAATATTGCTGAGTGTGGTGTTTACAACAAGTTAGTGAGCATAATTTAACACGTCTATCCGACCTTTTAGTGTTATGATATCCACTAGTTTCAAGTTTATGAGCACTCAGACATACTGAGGTTCCCAATACACAACCGAGTTGAACAGCAAACACAAGATCAGCCAACATCCTTCACCTTGCCTTCATCAAGCACCGACTAAATACACCATGAACTTTGAACCTTACAAGTTCACTTACTCTCAATCTAGTATCTCTACACACAATCTCAATGCAGACATGCTTAACCATCCACAATGCAGTAAACTGTATATGGTCGGTACTTCTCCCCCCAGCCCTGATAGTAGGGAGTGTACAAGATAACCCTATATCTACTGAACAAGATAGAAGTCTCATTGAAGGGGCCAGCTTGAAACTAGTGGATCTGGGAAGTTGAGTCAAGGCGATGATAACATTTCAAGTGTGTGTTCGGTTAATATAGTAAACCTAATACGTAATATGTTGTCGGCCGCAAGTTAGCTACACTGAATGCTTTCTCTTATTGAAAAATAATATGTAAGCTATGTTGAATTGGGACACTTATTGGAGTAGGCCAACATGTAGGACCGGAAATAAAGTTATGTAAAAAATGACTCCAAATTACAAACTAAAATCAAACTTGAGCCCAGAGTGAGTGAGTGAGTAGGTTTTTACGCTGTTTTTAGCATTATTCCCGCAATAACACTGCGGGGGGGACACCAGAAATGGGCTTCACACATTGTACCCATGTCGGGAATCGACATTGAGTTTAATTCATACATTCACAAATCTAGTATTGTATCAACATGTTTCCTGTCATTTGTGAGAAAAGAGTTAACCAAACACTTTCATCCATCACCATCAGCTGATCGTTCAGCTGTAAATCTGTTCAATGTCTTAACCGTCCCCATACAGCACACTTGTCAGCAGCTTACAAAAAAAACTTAAATTTTAAGTCTTGTAGCAAGTGGATTCGGTTAGCTTGATGTGGATATTACTGGATAATTCCCCTGCGTAATGACCCAGGTCAGGTTTTACATCACATCATTCACTATTGATTTCCCACACCATATGCAAATTTCATTTCATTTTTCAACGTTCCTTGCAAAAATTTAAAACTCCATTATCAAAGAACAACTGGCAGATAGTGAAAGTTGTAACTTCAATCCAAACATGTGCCCATCAAATTCAATGATGCTTCTAGCTGAATACAAATGTATAATTATCACAAGTATAACCCAAATCTAGAGCATATCCCAACATTTTACAACCTTCGGTGAAAACAATACAGATGCAAATTAGCAATAATCC